ACACAAGTCAATATCTGACAATATCCGACCTTGACATGGAAATTCTGAAGTAAGACATTTATACTGTAATTCTTTTTACACCCTATTTCATGTAATTACAAATTGTGCCCAATACATAATGATTTATAAATAATAAATTAGCAAAATATTTTAAACAATTTCAGAGATGCTTTTAGAAATATTGCATCCTTAGAAGATTGGACTGTGTCCAGTCCAAAGCAATGGAACAGAGATGATGGAAGGAACTGTGGTGTTTTCGTATGCACAGTGAGTTAACTGTTTTTAAATAAATGTATTATGTTGATTTTTTTTTAAATATGTTTTTAAATATATATATTTTTTATGTAACTAACTGATACTGTTAAATCATTTTTGGAGTAGATGGCAGAGATGGAAGCTAAAAATATTAAAATGTGCCAGGAAATTCTGCACAATGAGCAGATGGGATACCTTCGTCTTTACCATGCCTCGTGCATGGTGAAAAATCTGCAACCAGAGGTATTGCTGGGAATTTAAAACAAGGTTTACAGTTTACAGGGTTTGCAAAGCTTAACATGAAACATTTTTTTAGGACTTTCCACCTGAGGTTAAAGCAGTCCAGAGTGCAACACAAAACAGCTGTATGGCCCAGGATGTTGATGTCTGCATTTACCAAAAATATCGATCAAAGTATGTAATGACTATTTCATTTCCATGTAGTCTACTGTTTTGATTAAGCAGTTACTCATTGTTATCATTTAACTGTCTGCAGAGTGATGCACCCACAAATCAAGTCACTGGGCTGGATTCAGTGTGACCTTTGCCAAAAATGGCTGCATGCTGACTGCGCTGGCATCAGTCTTGAAGCGGTCACAGCAGAAACATCATTTAGCTGTGGATGTAACACTAACCATGTGCATACCTTCGAGAAGTATGTTATTCCTTAAATTATATCTTTTGCATAATAAATTACAATACATGTTTTAATGCTACTTTGATTTTACAGAACATGGGCACTCTTGAAGCAGGGCTGGTTGGTTGACATTGTAATAGAGGATCAAGAGATCTTGGTAAATATTAAAAATTACTAAGCACACCATTTTACTACTTATATCCTAGCTGTATCATTTTGAGTATTGTTATTTACAAAGAGATAGTCTCTCATTTACATTTCACTTTTGTAATGGCATTCATGAGATTACATAATGTATAGCAATGTAATCTGTTAGAGCTTGTTGAGGGGCACTATAAATGTAGATTAATAAACACACACACACACAGACACATATATATATGTCTTACACTTGTCTAACTTCTGTAACTATATAACATTCCAGAATTTACACGAAGGCCTGAGAACTGACACAATCCGATCCAACAGGATGTTTTTATTTAAACATCCAACATTTTCTCCAAAGCTCAAGATGAAGCTCAGTGAAAAGCTTTGTTTTTTTGATGAAGAACAGGTAAAATTTCATATTGTTGCCTTGTTTAACAATTTATATAGTAAAAATAAGCTTGTGTTTGTTTATTTATTTTGAACCAAGAATATAAGACTGTATACAGATGCATAAGAAAATATGTCGGACTATTTGAACATCTCACATTTCATCACATCCGTATACTAGCAATGTAGATATTCTGTAGAAACATTTACAAGGTTACTTTATAAATCGTAATACATTTTTAAAGCATATAAATGTTAATAAGTACAACTTTAACAAATTTTTTTCTACAGACTGAGAGGATAATTGAAAGATTATACACAGTAACACAATTGCCCAGAGACTCCCTGGAAAACACAACCTACATTCTTGATGTTTTGACCCCTGAGGTACATAAACAGACGCTTTGATACAGTACATTGACAATAGCATTAAATGCACTGTACATGTACCTTTCATAACTGTATATTCTTGTCTTTTAAAGCTAACACTGTTAATTCTGCACAAGACTGAGGGCTTTCACAGGTTCCAGGCAGAAATGGCTTTACAGTCAAACTTTGCTTTGGAGTACGTCTTTATTTTACTGTTGTTGTTGTTTTCCTCCTTAAAACATTTACAAAAAACTTATACCCCTGTCCTATTTTTCTTTTAAAGGGTGAAACAATCAAATCCACCATGGTTTTGAAGGCATAACCGTCTGTGTGATAAGGGAGGTCGGCTACAACTGAGCAACTGTGCTTTTGGTCCAAGAGCAGGGGAGGCCCTCTGCAAAATCTGTTTCATGCCCTGTTTATGTTTTTGTAAAGAAGAGCCATATTTATTTAAAGATTGTTATTGAAATATTAATTTAAATACATGTTTATATATATTTACAAATATATTTATAAAAATGTATGTAAATAAAATATTTCTTATACGCATGCAAATTTCAATAGGGGACTATTTTGAAGTTTTATTACAAGAAATTGTAAGTGAAAAACTAATAAACATTCTTTGTATTTATACATATAGGCCTATTGCATTTTTTTTTTTGCAGCATTTTAGGTTACTGTTATAACTCGGTTGCAAAGCAACTACATCACTGTGTATTTTAGACAAATGTGACCTCTTTAATGCAATATAATAGCCTAACTGTCATTAACATTGATGTTTTAAAAAAATCTAGCCTAAACATTGTTAGATATGATGACAAAAAGACACCATAGCCGTGCCCGTGACGGGTCGCGGGACAGGCTCGTTCAAACGTGACGGGTCGAGTGACAGGCTCGTATAGCCGTGACGGGTGAAGTGACAGGTGCATTTAGCCGTGACGGGTCGCAGGACAGGCGCGTATAGCCGTGACAGGTCGCGGGACATACGCATAAAGCCGTGACGGGTCACGGGACAGGCTCGTATAGACCTGACGGGGAGCGGGACAGGCCCATATAGCCGTGACAGAACGCGGGACAGGCGCATATAGCGGTCGCGGGAAAGGCGTGTATAGCCGTCACGGGACATGCGCATAAAGCCGTGACGGGTCGCGGGACAGGCTCGTTTAGACCTGACGGTGAGCGGGACAGGCCCATATAGCCGTGACAGAACGCGGGACAGGCGCATATAGCGGTGACGGGTCGCGGGAAAGGCGTGTATAGCCGTGACAGGTCACAGGACAGGCGCATATAGCCGTGACAGGACGCGGGACAGGCGCGTATAGCCGAGACAGGACGCGGGACAGGCGCGTATAGCCGAGACAGGACGCGGGACGGGCGCATATAGCCGAGACAGGACGCGGGACAGGCGCGTATAGCCGAGACAGTACGCGGGACGGGCGCATATAGCCGAGACAGGACGCGGGACAGGCGCGTATAGCCGAGACAGATCGCGGGACAGGCGCGTATAGTCGTGACAGGTCGAGTGGCAGGCGCACATAGCGGTGACAGGTCGAGTGGCAGGCGCACATAGCGGTGACAGGTCGAGTGGCAGGCGCACATAGCGGTGACAGGTCGAGTGGCAGGCGCACATAGCGGTGACAGGTCGAGTGGCAGGCGCACAAAGCGGTGACAGGTCGAGTGGCAGGCGCACATAGCGGTGACAGGTCGAGTGGCAGGCGCACAAAGCGGTGACAGGTCGAGAGACAGCTGCCAATAGCGGTGACGGGTGGAGTGACAGGTCTCGGTGGCAGCTGTCCCTGCCACGGAAAGATTTTAGCCTTACTGAGCTGAGGTGCTAATGCTATACTGGCCTCGCGTTAAAGTGGCAGCTGATTGAAGAATTAAAGCCAATAGTTTAGTTCATGTTTTTGCCCAAATATTATAATAGTTAAAAGACGTAACTAAAAGTGAGACTGTGTATCGTGATGTATTATTATTCTGCTATAAAAATGTATTATCATGCAGTAACTTACAATATTGCTCTGAGCTTGTGCGTTTGACAGTGATTCATGTGCATACATGTCAGTCAGTATGGCATCGCACGTCAAGTTTGTAAAGAGCTTTATTCAGTCCATTTCAAAATCTGATTTTGGCCGCCTCTCAATTATTCAAATGGGTTAAACCAAAGATATTACCTCAGAAGTTCAAGTAAATGCACTAGAAATCCGCGCTCATTCAAGGGTGTGCATCTGACGTTACTGCATGGACGGAGAGAAAGCACTGACACCTGCAGGATTTCATCTGATGGTACTTTCAATAAAAAGTTAAATAAGCATATCTGTTCCGTGAGAGCAACAGTACCGCATTTAATGAGTGTGCAATGTGCATGGTCTCTATATCTATAGACTTTTTTTAGCAAGGAAATTGTCAGACATCCATTAACGTTAGTGCATGCGAGGAAAACAACTGGAAATACAGCGCTAGTTGTTCTCTCCATACTCGATAACGACGGAATCCAACGGCGTGGGCGGAGGTATAATGCGTGTATTAAATTGTATGAAATAATCCCGAAAAAAGCACAAACACGGCAGAGATGGCAAGTACAGCAGCTGCTGGAATAAGCTCAGAGTGACGTTAACAGACAGCAGACAAACGAGCGCAATCCACCTGTCACTCAAGTGGCCACGCCCTTAATTATGCAGGCTTAATATAATTTAAACGGATGAGTTGTAAAAAAATTCACCCCCCTCACAGTTGTCATGAAGGGCAAAATAAGCTATAAAGACCAAAACCACTTTTTGCTCCAGGCTGTACACATGTTTTTTTTCTGCTGTAAAGTTGGGCATTTTAACATGGGGGAGATGCAGATTTAACTCACTTCTGCCTCCAGCCTCAAGCGGCCAGTCGATGAATTGCAGTTTAATTCACTTCCGTGTTGGTTTCAAGCGAGAGACAGGGAGGTTGCCGCTTGTAGAAAACTCAAGACTACAATGGAGGCGTTTCAGGGAGTTCAGAAACACTGACACTGATATAGAGAATAACTCCCGCTGGAGAGACTCTGTGCTTTGTAACTTTGCAGACATTTTTCAGGCTCAAACAGCAACATTACACACTAAAGAAAGCTGAACATGTAAAAAAGCACAAGACCCCTTTAAACCACCAGTACACAGTTGGCTCTTAATTTGCAAGCATGTAAGTGTGAATATTCTTGTGTTATTCTGCACAGAACCTATTGTGAAAGCAAAGAAAGCTACAATTGTGTGGGTGTCTGTGAAACCAGAGGGTCTAACTGCTCCATCCAGCCCATCAATTCAGCGTTACACTGTTTCCGTGCGGACGTGCTGGCGTACACACACACTGGATCCATACGCTCACCGCTGTACTTCTTCAACGGTCTCGAGTCAGGTACAACACTTCACTAAACAACATTAATGTCCATCTTTGTGCCGACTGTAGCTTTGAAACTGGAGGTATGAACACTTTGGACATAGCATACCACTATACAAGTCTTACTACTTACTACTGTACTATTTAGGGTGTATATTGTGCCTAATAACTTCCATTATGCATATAATACCCAGACAACCTACACTACTGGTAAAAAGATTGGGGTCAGTAGGAAATGAACACTTTTCAGCAAGGATGCATTGAATTGATCAAAAGTGACAGTAAAGACATTTATAATATAACAAAAAAATCAGTTTCAAATAAGTTCTTTTGAACTTTCTGTCCTAAAAAAACAACAATGTGTATCACGGATTCCACAGAATTGTAAAGAAGCACAATTTTGACATCGCAGGAATAAATTACATTTTAAAATATATTCAAATAGAAAAGTTATTTTTACATTTAATAATATTTCACAATATCATGTTTGTACTGTATTTTAATCAAATAAATGCAGCTTTACCGACCCCAAACTTTTCAATGATAGTGTACTATATACAGTATATTCTTGAAATCTAGCATGTTAATGTATTAAATGTTCATTATCCATATCCAGTCATCCACACAATTTCATATGCAATTTTTTTTAGGCATACAGCGCAATTAGCAGTATGCTAGTATTCTATTCTGCCATTGTAACAGGTCAAGGTTGGTCGTGACAACGCAAACAACAAGCAATGAATAAAGAGAACAAAAGCACACATGCACACATTGTTTATTCCTTTCTTACGATGGTGACACATGTCTCAAAAAATGTCATTAGAATGCATTATGCAAATGACAAATTTCCATCAATTATGATGTTTACAGTCAGTATTCATCATTCTTTGCACCTGTGTTCAGTGCCAAGGGCATTTCTGACCACAGGAAACAAAAACCTGTTAATAAAGAGTTTTTTCTTTCCTATTTTACTTATGTTTTCTCTCTCTATTGCAGTGAAACTTCCTCCCCCACAGATTAAACATCTCAAGCCATCAGCTGGATGTTTGCATGTGGTTTGGGGATTGACTGAGAGCTTTCCCAAGGATGAGAAAAAACACATACGGCTCCAAGTGGAGTTCACAACACATGACCAGGTTTATACATATGTCTATAATGAGCAAAAATATAAGAGTGATAGTTCACCTAAAAATGAAAATTCTGTCATCATTTACTTATCCTCATATCATCCCAAACTCAAACTTACTTGATTATAATAATGAATCATATTTTGGTCTATTTCGCGCACAAAGACTTCAGAAGATGTAGATTACAGTGCATGAGTCACTGTAATGACTGCTTGTATGGGGCATTTCCACTAAAAACTTTTTCAAAAAGTCTCCTTTTGTGTTCCACAGAAGAAAGAGAGTGAGCGAAAACAATGATATAATTTTCATTTTTGGTTGACGTTTCCCTTTAAGAGTGTCACGTGTGTGGTTTCTTTGTGAATAAGTGCACTTAATTGTATTGATTCAAATCTTAAATTTGAATATATATTTTTAAAGCATATTTTTAAATGTATTTACAAATGAAATAAGAGTACAATTGCATACACTTAAGTACACTTTTAAAAAGTGCACTTTGCAATAATGTCTAAGTAAAAGCTTTACAGTACATCTAAAATCATAATTCAAAAAACTTGTCATGCTTTAAAGGAGCACACTTATTTTGATGTGTTGACTACCATACTAAATTACATGTAAAGATGATAATTTTAGTTGTAGTGTTATTTAAAATTATTTTTAAATTTACATTTTTAATGTACTAAACTGCAACTTTATCATTACAAATATATGCAATTAAAATATATATTTAAATGCATGACATACAAGAATACAAGAACAAAATTTATACAATGTACTGTATATTCTTTTAAAGTATTATCTCCATAATAAGTACTATTTTAGGCCCAATTCACACTGCAACAACAGACGCCCGCCAACCGACGCCAACAGTCAGGGTTTTGTCGGATCAGTGTTGTTACCCCTGTCGGCATCTGTTGCCATTGGTCGGCGCTTGTTTTCGCTGATTGAACATGTTGAATTGGCGTTTGACAGGTTGTGAATTGTCTGAGAAGTGACATACTTTAATTTGGCTATTGTCTGTGTGGATTGGTCTTTAAAAGTATGATAAAGTGTACTTCTTTTTCACAAAGGTTAACAAAAATGTTATTTGATTACACCAAATATAAGATTAGACGGTAACGCTTCCTTTTACAGTCCTGTTACCCATGTACCTACTATATACTTATTATAGTAATTATAACAACTGGGTAATAACTAGGTACTAACCCTGAACCTACCCCTAACCCATGTACTTACCTTATATTAGCCAGTACTTTCTAGGTAAGTACACTGTAAGTACACGTAAGTACTGTACTGTAAAAGTAAGCGTTACCGATTAGACTTATATTTGGTGGTTAATGAAACTCTCTCCTATGATCCTGTAGACTCGATCACAGACTATACAAGCGTATTCCAATGAGACACTGGAGCTCTGTGACTTACACCCTGGATCCAAGTACACAGTGAGACTGAGAGCTCAGGACAATCGAGCATGCGTTCACTGGAGCTCATGGACCTCTATAGACACCACCACAGCGGAGAAAGGTAAAACTCGGATGGGTCTGACAGAGAGCGCTGCCGGGATGACGTATTTCTGTAGGCCAAGTTACCCAGAAGTTAGCACAACAACAAAGAAGTTAGGCCAACCCAGAAGTTAGCACAACTGGTCCCACAACAGAGACCCAATAGGATTTTTCCATTGGCTTTTGGATGATTGTATAAAATAAGAGAAAGGTTATGATTCTTACATGTTTTGTTCATCATGATACTCTTGACAAATGAACACAAATGAACTTCGGAAGCCTAAATTCAATCGGCAGAAGTAAAAAGCTAAACGTAGGCTATAAAAGAACCACACTACAGCACTTATATTTCACCTGAGTTAAGAGAGTTTACAAGACCGCAATTTATAAACACAATGAGGCTGTGAAAGCAGACTGGAGAGTAGTTGACCTGTTTAGTGTGATGATGTTTCATTTCACCAACAAACTCTGCAGTCTCATTTAGACACTTGGTAGCAACTGCCTTTTTCAAAACAAGTAAAAGCTTTTAAAAAAAATCACAAGGGGAATTGTGATGTATTTTATGTTGTAGAATAAAACATGAAAATAATTTGAGTTTGAGTTAACCATAACCCTTTTGTTTGCCGGTGAACGTGAGTTCACCAAGTACAACATGATCCTGGATCAACATCTTTGTGGGAGCCAATCAGATTTGAGGGACAAGTTTACAGTTTATGTCAAGTTTAGGCTTAAGACCAGGGTTAGGTGCTTCTACATCAGTTTAAGTTCACCTATTATTTCCCTCTGATTTAGGGAGGTTTTGGGTAGGGTTAGGTTAAGGGGCAGGGATAGGGCTAGGACTACATTTTCAGACAAGAATGTTGTTCCAGTATCAACAAAGTATGCTGATCCAAAAACATGTCTTACTTGGCAAAATCACGGTGACCTTTGTCTGCCATTTCAGGCATTTAGCCAAAAACCCCCATTGCTAAAATACTAACTCATTTCCGGGTTTTGACCTACAAAAATACGTCATCCCTACAGCACTATTTCCCTTTTAAAGTGCCCCTGTTATGCTTTTTCGGTATTACTTTTCGTGTATTTGTAGTGTATAATATACTGTAGCTGTTTGTGAATGTAAAATGTCTGATCAAAGCGAAATGTACAGATCAAAACGAACAACAAAATCTTAAAAAAAAAAAGAACCGATTCTGAACTGCCGAAACGAGTTGTCAGTAATTCCAGTCTTACTTCCTGCATGAACCGACATAACAAATTTGCATAATGCCAGCCTTTGGTGTTCATTGGCTGCCTGCAAACAAGGTCTTCTTTGACCCTCAAACACTGTAGTTGAAGCTGTCAACATGTGGAGAAGATGCTGTCTTCTGTGCTGCGAAAGCAAATCCACTTTGCTGCTCTTTTCAAAGGATGAGGACCGTTTAGACACTGTGAGAAAAGAGCTGATGCTGCAATGTATATTATTAGAAAATTAAAGTGTTTTTTTTTTTTTACCTTGGATGCCCGTAAACCTATTGAGACTCCAAACCTTATTAGGAACCATTAAAATAGGGGCACTTTTTGGCTTGAATCTCTTAAATGAGCGTGCATTTTCACATCAGACCAAACACACACTTGTTCAAAGCAATTCTAGAACACTCTTTACGATCAGTTTTAGTGTTTGATGACAAAGAGAGTCATTTGCGTTTAGTAGTGTGGTTAAATGTGGTCGTATGGATGAATATGAGTTATAGGATTGATCTTTCCTCAGCCCCGTCTGCGGCTCCTCGGCTCTGGAGACACATCCAACCTGCAGAAGAAGCTGGAAAGAGACGCCTCACCCTGCTCTGGAAGGTTTGCTTTTATTCTATAGAAATCTGTTTTCAAATATACATGATGAGGATGTGATTTAAAGGATGATTGCAGAAAGGCAGTTAAAGCACCGAGCCCACAGACAAACAGGCACCTCCTTTATTAGATCATTGTTGTGTTTCTCAGATATTTTGCGTTAGCTTTTTATAAAGATGATTCACCTATAATTCCTTGAAATGAGAATTGAAAACAGACACAAATGAGTCTGTTGACATACAGCACGATGTTATTGAGATATCTGACTTTGATTGCAGACTTTATCTTGGCACAATCTGAGCACAGTTTATGATATCTGAGACATTTCAAATTACTGGGGACTTTTTTGCAGAAGTATCGAGAAGTATTTGAGATGTTAAAAAGACCTAATTTGTGATTTTTCGTTCCTGTGCGATGGACCATTCTTGATGTATTTATTGGAAAATGTATTTAACCTTAACAATGACATCATCATTAATATTTAATATACACTCACCTAAAGGATTATTAGGAACACCATACTAATACTGTGTTTGAACCCCTTTCGCCTTCAGGACTGCCTTAATTCTACGTGGCATTGATTCAACAAGGTGCTGAAAGCATTCTTTAGAAATGTTGGCCCATATTGATAGGATAGCATCTTGCAGTTGATGGAGATTTGTGGGATGCACATCCAGGGCACGAAGCTCCCGTTTCACCACATCCCAAAGATGCTCTATTGGGTTGAGATCTGGTGACTGTGGAGGCCATTTTAGTACAGTGAACTCATTGTCATGTTCAAGAAACCAATTTGAAATGATTCGAGCTTTGTGACATGGTGCATTATCCTGCTGGAAGTAGCCATCAGAGGATGGGTGCATGGTGGCCATAAAGGGATGGACATGGTCAGAAACAATGCTCAGGTAGGCCGTGGCATTTAAACGATGCCCAATTGGCACTAAGGGGCCTAAAGTGTGCAAGAAAACATCCCCCACACCATTACACCACCACCACCAGCCTGCACAGTGGTAACAAGGCATGATGGATCCATGTTCTCATTCTGTTTACGCCAACAGAAATCGAGACTCATCAGACCAGGCAACATTTTTCCAGTCTTCAACTGTCCAATTTTGGTGAGCTCTTGCAAATTGTAGCCTCTTTTTCCTATTTGTAGTGGAGATGAGTGGTAACCGGTGGGGTCTTCTGCTGTTGTAGCCCGTCCGCCTCAAGGTTGTGCGTGTTGTGGCTTCACAAATGCTTTGCTGCATACCTTGGTTGTAACGAGTGGTTATTTCAGTCAAAGTTGCTCTTCTATCAGCTTGAATCAGTCGGCCCATTCTCCTCTGACCTCTAGCATCAACAAGGCATTTTCGCCCACAGGTCTGCCGCATACTGGATGCTTTTCCCTTTTCACACCATTCTTTGTAAACCCTAGAAATGGTTGTGCGTGAAAATCCCAGTAACTGAGCAGATTGTGAAATACTCAGACCAGCCCGTCTGGCACCAACAACCATTTCACGCTCAAAATTGCTTAAATCACCTTTCTTTCCCATTCTGACATTCAGTTTGGAGTTCAGGAGATTGTCTTGACCAGGACCACACCCCTAAATGCATTGAAGCAACTGCCATGTGATTGGTTGATTAGATAATTGCATTAATGAGAAATTGAACAGGTGTTCCTAATAATCCTTTAGGTGAGTGTATGTTTATATGTCCGCACCTGGCATACAGACAAAAACAAATCAACAGCATAAACATAGAGATGTAAAGCAGATCAGCGACTGAAATAAAAGACTCATTTATACTCTCTTACTGTGCATATGGCTCAAGGCACTTCCCTTTTAAACAACACTCTTTCAAATTTTCCTGTCAGCTTAAATCTGACAAACAGCACGACCACATCCTGCCTCCACATATCAACTGATATGGCTGAATTTAGCACATTTAGCGCCTGATTTAGTGATTAGACAATCTGTAGAGTATTCTATACCAGATTGCTTCTCGACTAACTTTTTTAAAAGAGATAGTTCAACCAAAATTGATAATCCTTTTTAAAAATGACAACTCCGACAACTGTCATCATTTACTCACCCTCATGTTGTTCACACCTCACCTGTATGACTGTTTGACACAAAAAAAACATATAAATCTGAAAATGTTAATGTCTTTTTGAACATACATTGAAAGTCAATGGGGTCCAATGTAAAGTATCATCATTCTACAAGAAGATCTAGTCCCTGACTTGTCCGTACCGTCATCTACTCGTTGAGTTTTATGGAATAATAATTAATGAGGCCTCAGTTCAACTTAATAGGTTTTAATAAGCGGTTTTGTCTCTCGTCTTTCACTGCTTGCAATAACATTTAGAAGGATAATAACCTCAGAATGACTCCAGGCTCACAGCTACTGTGATTAATATGATTTGGTGTGGGGTGAAATGGCTCATTCTGTTGCAGAGGAACATTTGGAACAGGAAATGAACACAGAACCCAGTGCTAATTAAAGACAGAAGTGTGCCATGCATGTTTACTCCTTTACATGTTTGTCATTTTCATTGCTTTATAGTCACTCTGTTACATTTAGTGTGGATCAACTAAAGCAGGACTAAATCTGTTCTGACAAACAAAATAAACTAAGTAAATCCTTATTATCTAAATCAGGGATTTTCAAACTGGGAAAAGTGGGTGGAAAGTTAATAAATAAAATCATTTTTTAGGGCTTTCATTTCATTTTAATTTTATATGTTGGTAATTTCATTTTCATTTCATATGTTGGTAACGCTTAACATAAAGCCTTATGTGTAATGCATTATAAAGGTATTTATTATGTTATAATGCACTATCTTTTCATAATTTGTTTAATTTAAAATGCATTATAATTAGGGCTGTCAAATGATTAATCGTGATTAATCACATCCAAAATAAAAGTTTTTTTTACATAATATATGTGGGTGCATTGTGTATAATTATGTTATATATATAAATACACACACATGCTTGTATATATTTAAGAAATATTTTCATGTATATACTGTATATAGATTTATATATAAATGATATTTTTTTCTTAAATATACATGCATGTGTGTGTATTTATATATATATACAAAATAATTATACACAGTGCACCCACATATATTATGTAAAAAAACTTTTATTTTGGATGTGATTAATCGTGATTAATCATTTGACAGCCCTAATTATAATATTTGCAGATTCTTTGCAGAAATTGGTTGCTTGATATGTGTTTTAAAAACATTATACTTTCTAAAAGGGGTCATATAATGGTACATGCACTTTTACAAGTTGATTGTACTGAAATGTGTGTTGGCAGTGCCTGTACACAAACATCATATAATGTGACCTGATCCAGCAAAATGAGTCACAGTGACCCAAATTTAAAAATTGAGATTTTGGTATTAATGGAAAGAGGAGACCTTAAGCTTTCAATTGATATCCTAGTCAAAGTCATACCTTGAATGGTTGTAAAGATATACACATTTGAATTATGGTCGTCTGCCCTCTTTTTCCAATTGAAAACCTGAGAAAATCGCTTTTAAAGTTTTTTGCCCGTTTTTTGTTGATATCTTTCAAAATCCATTACATTTAAAGGGATAAACTATTTATTTTACAGCTTAATTTGACCAAAGACATTAATATATAAATGCTATTAAACCAGGCTAAAGCTCAAATTATTTTAAAGTTTTTATTTGAATAAATAATTTAACAGTAGGCCTACCTTTTACAAAAATGTACTAAAATCAGAAAGATTGAACAGAGGTGCTACATTGCTTGAGAGAGAGAGAGAGTGTGTGTGTGTGTGTGTGTGTGAGAGAAAGTGAGAGGCAGAGAGACAAGGAAACAGATCAAATAATGCTAGTCTATGCAATCATATCTTAGTGTAGGCTAGTTGACAATAACAGCGTAACAAATTCATAACGGAGATACCAACAAATATTGGGTTAATCAAACACATTAATGAATTCTCCTTGCAGATAAATAGCTACACTCATTCACATTTGTCAATCACGTTATGTCAATCACGCTTGCACACTACGACACTTTCATCCGTTATATAAAAACAATCGTAAGTTTTTCGCATCCGTAGCAAGCAGTTTGAATGGTGTTTTGACAATTCGGAGCCACCGAATCAATACGAAGAAAAAACCCATACGAAAAAAACGCGGACTCAGTGTGCAATGGCCAGGGGGCTTGATGACGCTTTGGCAACTTTGCTCGCTTTTGACAGCGACATTTCTCAAATTAATAATATTTAATCTTTCTGAGGAGATCTGCTAGCTTGTTTATTACACAGAGCGCTCGCTGCGAGTCTGACGGTAGGGTGACTGGACCAATCGCGTGCAAGGGGGTAATCCATCGACCGGAAGTTGAAGCCGGCCGGGTGCCGCCATGTTGTAGCAGAACTTCACTTGCGTTAGCATTTCCATTGACTCCCATTCATTTTTGCGTCACTTTGACAGCGAATAACTTTACATCTGAGGCGTTTAAAGACTCCATTTGTCCATTATTTATTTCTAAAGAAACACGACAATGCATAAAGGGCTCCATTACCTTCTATGTTACACTATGGCCCCGTAGAAACAGATTTAGTAAAAAAAAGCTAACGATTGCGTCATAACCACTCGACTCTCTGTCGCGCTGTACAGAAAGTACCGTACAGACAGGAGGAGAAGCTCGCAGGCAATCGGGGGGACGTCCCGTCAAGGGAGAAGCCCATAGATAATGAGTCCATAAAAGCAACGGAATACTTACTCCTGCTCACTCACGCCAAAGAACTCTTTGCTCAAGTTCCCCGTCTCTGCAAGATTAACGTTGGCAGTTTTCACGCACAGCTACTAGAAGATTAACGTCTGTCAGACAGGTTGCTCACGTCATCAAGCTTAGTTTGAGTCGGTCTGAGTCTGCGCGTCAGGAACGGAAGTGCTCAAAAATCGCTAAAAGTGGGCTTCAACTGTCTCAACTGAGTTCCAATGAGATCGCTCTGTCCATTTCTTTTACTGTCTATGATCGCGTGCCGGTCACTCGAAACGGCTTCCCATCGACAAATAATCAGCATTTGTGTACATTTCTAAGCTTTTTGATTGGTTCTATACAACGTGTAACACCATTTAAAGAGCAGAGATAGTGACGTTTCAGGGGATACCCGGGAAATGCTCAGAGGTGACGAGAGGAGTTGAGAAAAGCAATGTTCATTTCCAGCGAATTTAGTAAAACTTTGTAAACTTTAATAGTAATTTAGATACCTTTACTCAATTATCTGGACTACGAAACTTTGGGAGATTATTTTTGAATGTCTGTTCTTTGAAATTAGCACCAAAAAAAAAAATCTATTATTTCATTGTTTTTCCACATAATCGGCCCATATCTTAAAATAGAACGTTGCGACTTCCGACTCATTTCGCCAGATCGGGTCACTAATGATAAAAATCCATCCAGTGGTTTTGTTTTAATCTCCTTATATGTTTTCCCCTGCCTCAAATCGAGCCGTTTGTTTTTGTGACGTCAATAAAACGGACGCCCCTCCTACGATTGTTGATTGACGGGAGCGTTTCAACACAGACCCGCCCTCGCACATGAGGTAGCTGTCAATCATAGTCTGCGCGGCGCGGACCGGACCGGCGCGGTCATTGTTGATGTGCCGGAGCACTGTCTATGAGCAGAATGGCTCTAAGCGATTGTGGTGTTCTGTTCTTGGGTGTAATAACGAACACAGTCACTTTAATGTTCCTGAATCCGAACGGCTGAAGACGCAGTGGCTGAGTTTTGTTTTCGAAGGGAATATTCCCCACGAGCAACGTCAATGCTTTCATGTTTGCGCGAATCATTTCACACACCAGACTGCTTTATAAACGAGGGTCAGTATAAAGCTGGTTTTGCTAAGAAGCTTTGCTAAAAAGGATCGGTACCAGATATTCGTGTTCCTGCTGAACCTCCAGAAGAACTGAAGTGAGTGAAACGTTTTATTAAACTTTATATTAATATATTAATCTTTGCAAATCGCTAGCTGCACGCTTCATAATGAATGCGTCTAAGGTTTACACTCAGTCAGGGTACATTACGGCATGTTTTCTATGTATGACGTTCTCAATATAATTCATAATTCCACGTTTATACTGAACAACGGGTTATGGTCATTGTATTATTGTGTTACACACTGTGTACACACAGAACAGAGAGACGGGGTGAGCGCAGCTCATGATCATTTAAAGGCATATGCACTGAAACGGCGTGCTGAAAACAGAGCTGTTTTTGACCAGGTAAAATAAGTGTTTTCTTACAATACTAATGAGAATTTTTAATTAAAGTATATTACAAACTTTTAATTTAGACCCTAAAGAATCATATTAGCTTGTACAAAAATGGCATTATATGACCCCTTAAAGGTGTAACAATGAATTGAGAAGTATTATACATATCTAGTTCAGTCATGAAACTCTAGAGGGCGCAGGCTGATACATGCAATCTTTTACATCCTTTACATGCAATCTGCAAGCAATCACATAATTACTGCATGGCACAAGCTGATTGGCCTTTGCTGATCCTGCAGCCAATGAGATTGCTTGCTCACCATTTAAATAGTCTGGTTTATTGTTTGCTGTAAGCTAGTCCTGCAGCGCGCTATCAGAGTTTCTCTGAAACCCTCCACCTCCCCCAGCTCCACCTGCCTAGATCTGCTACCGGATTTATGGATGTCTATTTAAGCAGCAGCAGCATAACTTACATGCTTTACAGCAGCGTGTCTTAGCAGTAGCAAGTCCATACTTGCTCTGTAGCTCCGGCTGTGATGAAGGGGTCAATGTTTGTCTGCTTTTCATGGCCCTTTTAGCCCCTGCTGGTAGATTTTGTTCCTACACTATCTGCCTGGATATGCATCTTACTCCAATGACCTGCTTTAAAGCATGACTAATTATTCATAATAATTAATATCTTTGGGTTTTGTGTGTGTGTTTCAGCCTGTCTCCTGGCCTGAGGTCAATGGTGTTGTGCTGAGTTACTCAGTGTCCTGTCGCAGTGAGCTGGATTCATCTCAGTGGACCTGCGGCGCATTAAACGCATCCAGAAGCTCCTGCGTCCTCGCCGTCTCAACCGATCCCTGTCACTGCAACCTGACGGCTACCAACTCTGCCGGGACGTCACCTCCAGCTCACATCTACATACCCGCGCACACAGATGCAGGTAAATCACTGATGTGATGCTTCAGCGTGTTTGGGAGTTTCAGTGGAATTGATGTGTTGGAAAATGCAGCTAATAACCACTGGACTGGTTTACATGGTTTCTAGCTGGTCCAAACCGGTGGTCATTTATGGTTGCTTGTTGGCCCTAGCTGGTCTTTATGCAACTTGCTACATTAATGTAGAATTGAATGTGCATCACAGGTGTACATATATCATATTTGGTTAATTTGATGAATTCAATGAATTTGAATGTGTTATAAATTTTATATTGTATTATATTAAAGAGCATTTACAAGTGAACTGAAAACAACACAGTGCTATTTCAATGAACAGTTTTATCACGTATTACATTTTCCGAAGAAAAAAAGCCATTTCTGGGTCACTTCGTATTCCCAACACAGATCTGAGCTCCCTCCAAGGCTCAAATGCGAAGCCGATGTTCACTCTAGTCCTTGCTCGGCGCCGGTCGCTCTCAATCTTCGATCTTTTTTGTCCACTTGTCAGGGGTTTAACTTTTTTAGTCTTCTGTCGAGTTACTGTTGGTGTCCGAGTTGTCCTGGGTCTCTTCTGTGTATTCGCAAAATCCATTGCACTGCTTGCGAGTGTAGGCTACTTGCTGACTAGCGGTGGTGGCAGAGTGATCTGAAACGTTTAACATGAACGCGCTTGACGTCACATCCGCAGACAGCGCGGGATAAATCCGACCCGACAGAAAATAGGAAAAATAGGATACAAGCTTATAGGTGCACCCAATGTGAGCGGACAAGGTGTCAGTATGCTCATCAGGAGATGTTTAAGTCATAAATGGTAAAATAAAAAGGCTATTGTTATGTTTATTTTGGGGAAAAAGTTCCATATAGATAAGTTTGACTGTTTTTGACTGATACGAAAATAATCAAATGAAAATAAGCAGCTTTCTTTGTTTTAAAGTATTTCATTCTCTGATTTGTTTAAAAAAAAATAGGCACCGCAATTTTTATTTAATATACAAACTTTTTTTCATTGAATTTTTTTGCCATAAAAAAACCTAAAAAACGGTTGCTTTCTTATGCTTGCTGCAAAAATCTCAAAGCAACTTCCTTGTGGACGTGTAATGAAATAGTGATGATTATATGGGAAATTCTGCACAAGCATTCATAAAACAACATCATTATCAGAAACCTTACGTTCATTAATCCCAAATGTATCTCCCATTTCCTGCCCTGGAAGAACTCCCTCCCCCTCAGAACTTCAGCGTCACCCCATTGGACGACACTCGTCTGAAGGTGGAATGGACAGCTGCACTGAACCAATCAGAGAGCGGATTTGTGCTGCAGTGGAGTTCTGTGCCTCACAGTGGACCAGATAGTCTTCACTGGGAACATATGAATAACACTGCAAGAAGTTTTAATCTCACAGGTCTGATCAATCACTTATACTCCTATAGAATGCGCACTAAGTCATTTTTTGTTTGTTTTTGCTGGTCGATATGACAGTGGCCTGTTGGTGTGGATCACATCACAAGTTCATAGTTACTGGTGGCATTAATATACTGTATTTCTTTATTGACTTCATTTTATATTCATCTTTCATAAGAAGTGTTAAGTTTTCCTTCTTTTTCGTCCTTAGATGAAAAAACATACTGTCGTCTTTTACTACTTATAATCATAGTTTAATCAAATAACTCGAACAGAATAGTTTTAGTCCATGTCTATGTGTGTGTTTTAGGTCTTCTGCCAGAAGTCCCATATAATCTGTCAGTCGTGAGTCTGTATGGGCGACGAGCAGGAAGTGACAAGTCTGTCATTGCCTTCACACAGGAAGGAGGTCAGATATTACACTGAAAAATGTAAAGTTATTGGAACTGAAGGTGTGGTAGTACTGCAATAGTGTATTTGTCATTTGTTTTCTGTCATATGCCATGCTGAAAAAAAAAAGCAGACAGAAACATGAACTTTAGAGAAGAATGGGGCTAGTAGGATGTATAACTGTAAGGTTGTGAGTCAAAAGTCCAAATACATAATTGTATTACTATTTACATTTAGATGAAAAGCCACTATATGTGTTGTGGAAGATTTATATTTATGTATATAAAAATATTTTATATATATAAGTGTATTATTATATGTAAGTATATTATATATTATATATGTAAGCATATTATATATAAGTATTTTATATAGTATGTCATATTTCAAATATGTCACTCCATATATTGTGACAACATGCCCCAGTCACCCTTAAAGGGATAGTTCACACAAAAATGAAAATTCTGTCATTAATTTCTCACCCTCATGTCGTTCCAAACCCGTAAAACTTTCATTCATCTTCGGAACACAAATTAAGATCTTTTTTTATGAAATCTTAGAGTGTTAATGCATCTCCATTGACAGCTAAGCAATATATTAATCATAATAATAATAATCATAATACAGTGCAGCTACTCTAATAATACTAATTTGCATTACGTTCGACTACTCTACTCATCAATCCAGCTCATGGCAATACCGGTATTTAAATATCAAGATGAACACAATGAACAGTGTCTGTTCATGTAGTTAAAGGAAGTCTGTAAGTGTATGCAAAGGCACATCAAAATCCTTGTTGCCGGTGTGAATGCTTTACTGATGTGTTCCTGTGTATCAGCGCCCTCTGTCGGCCCAAAGATGACAGTGCTGAAGACGAGCGGCAGCGGCGTTGTTCTGAAATGGGAACCTGTTCCTATAGAGAAACTTCATGGCTTCATCCAGAATTACACTGTTCTGTACAGTATAAATGGCCAAAGTAAGACGCACACTTTTCTTTGCAAAACATTGAAAAGCCATATCAGAACTATTTCAGAACTGAGCTTTCATTTTTGAGTTTGTCTCTATCTGAAGGTGAGAAGGTTTACACTAGTGCTGAACAGATATCTCTGAGTGGACTAACAGCAGGAACCTATAACATCTGTGTAATGGCTCACACTGCAGTAGGGGGCGCCGCTGGGCCGTGGCACATAGTGGCTGTGGGTAAGAATGACACAATTTGGGTTGAATTTATTTTTGATACATTCATGCATGCCTGCATAAACACAATGTTATCTTTAAACCTGTTTGCGTGTGTGTCCAAAGGGCTGGAGGATGTACAAGTGATCCCCATACTGCTGTGCTCACTACTACTGAGTTTTCTGATACTAATAATCCCATTATGCTTGAGAGTGAGGTAAGATAACTTATAAATAAATCATGATTCAGTTATCAAATATATTCATTCAAGGAGAGCATTAATAAACATGGTCCAATATTTACAACCTCAAATAAATGGAGATAGCATATTAAAAACACTTTGCAATGCAGTATGTTCTTTTATTTAGATAAAAATGTCAGTGTTTAATTAATATGATAACATACTACTAGCATGCAGTACTTATTGTCTCTGTATTTATGTTTGTTTTTTAGGATTAAACAGTGTCTCTGTCCGACCGTACCAGACCCCTCAAAAAGCAGCCTGTCCGTCTGGTCCAACACTAAACCATGTCAGGTAAACACAACCCTAGTTATAGTTATTCAGCGTGGTCAGGGATTCTTCAATACGACCCACATGCTGATAGGAGGAAATATATACACCTCTTGGTATCAATATAATCTTAAACTAAAATATGTAGGTGAGAATAATTTTTGGCGAATTAATTGTATCTCTTGCTACAGTCTTGGAAGAAAATTCCTTCCATATTAATGATGTGGCCTTTTTTAATTTAAGTATATTTAGATATTTTTACTGGAAAACACATACCAAAAAATTTTAAGGACGAAAATATTTTTTGGATACAGTACTCAGTTTCCACTAATACTAACAATTTTTAATAAAGTTTTGTCAAAAGTTGGTGTACTTGGTTACCAAGTACGACAACAGTGTCAGAGAAAATCATCCACAACATGAAATATAACATATGAATGAAGTGAAATCCTGGTAAATACAACTTGTGAACAGAATATTTTTTAATATATTTATAGAATATTATTATTAATATATTATTAGTTTGGAGTTTTAAATAATTCGGAAGGTTAATTAATGGTAAAAAGCATATTAGAAATATTTCTGAAGGATCATGTGACACTAAAGACTGGAGTAATGATGCTGAATATTCAGCTTTGCATCACAGGAATAAATTACATTTTAAAATATATTCAAATAGAAAACAGTTCTTTAAATTGTAATTATATTTCCACAATATTACTGTTTTTATTGTATTTTTGAGCAAATAAACGCAGCCTTGGTAAGCATAAGAAACTTCTTTCACGCACATATATATATTGTAGAAGTGTTCAACTCTTCTATGTTCAACAGCATAAACTAACATCCACCATGAGCTCCATCATCTCTATCGGTCAAGCTACAAGCTATCAGGATTATGCTGAGAAAGACTACGTCCCAGTTCAGGTATTAGCCTACCACACTGTTAGACATGACGACAATGAGGCCGAAACCAAGACCAACAGCACTGGAACACACCTGGACCCCAAACCAGCACCAACTCAAGCTTTCCCGACACATCTCCTCAACCAGAGCTACACCAAACCAGACCAAGTCATTCCTGCTGGATCTACAGCAGAAGACTTGGAGGCCTCAGCGGCCGATCTCTTGTTTGATTCACTCTTCAGCTGTGAAAGGAATCCAGTAGATTTCAGCAGCTACATCCATGTGTCCCAGAGCTACGCACCGTTTGTTACAACCACAGAAGCATTCAGAACTCCCGAGCTCGTCGAGTGTTCGCACTTCCTGCAGGTTTTACCGGAGGACACCAACATTTAGTTCATCACAGCGTAAACAACGAGTCCTACGTGACTGGGGTTTCACAATCCCACTCTCTCCAGCCAGCCCGCCAAAACATGTGCCCTCATATCAAACACCATCTTTGTGTGCATTCTGATCGACAGATATACACAGGCTTGGGAAGTCACAGGAGAGTTTGAAACGGCATAAAGCTGGTTGGGACGTAAAGCCAGATGCAATGGAATCTGATAACTGGCCTGATCTGGAAACTGTCTGGTGTAGACAGCCTCAGTTAATTATAATTGCACTGGATTTACAGAAGTTTCATTGGCAGGTTCAAGAGATTGGGTCTGCTCACTGTTCTGCCTGACACTGTGACCTAGCAGGAACTGCTTATCCTACCGTCAGATCTCGTCGAGGTCAAGGACTAGTCATTTCCACATGCGATATCTCTCACTAAACCATCTCAAGAAAGAAAAAGGTGCATAAACCACTGATACCAGTTACAAACTGCATGGAAAAAATGTGCCAGGTGGGAAAATTGCTTCCGTCGCATGGAAACTTCTTAAAATATTTTCTGTTTCTACGATAAAACAGTGCTGTTGACAGCGTATTGTTTTTCTCATTTTTTTATTATCGTATGGTGCTTTGAAAACTTCAAGTATTCTCATTATGTTACTTTCATCTTGTGATATTTGGTTTACTGTTACATTTTGTAATTAGTGTTTTTTTCTGTTGACATAGTCAAGGACAAACAGTCCCAGATGGGACATCACTTTCCCCTTCGTGGGACTGGTTACATCACGGACACATCTTGGAATTATACAGACCCGTTTAACTTCAGAGGGACCAAATTGTCCTGTTTATTATTGTGCATTGTGTATTTCTGATGGTCTTAACTAGCACTGCTCCTTGCATTAAACCTGTCGTCTCCTGCTTTACTCTGTCCTGCCGTTATATGGCCTTTTGGCTGATTAGATGAGTTAGTTTATGACTGTTTTGGATATCAGACAAAATACATTGTTTACTGGTTTTGGATATCAAACAAAACTAAATTCTAACTAGTTTTGGATATCAGTCAGAACTCAATTCGAACTGGTTTTGGATGTAAGACGGAACTCAATTCGAACTGGTTTTGGAAATCAAACTAAACAGGTTTTGGATATCAGATGGAACAATTCTATTTGGTTTTGGAAATTTGACAAATTCTAACTGGTAATGGATACCAGACTAAACTAATTTCTAACTGATTTTGGATATTAGACGGAACTCAAATCTATCTGGTTTTGGAAATCAAACTAAACTCGATAACTGTTTTTATATATATATATATATATATACTGTATCAGACAGGGCAGATTTTTGGGGGGATAAACTCAATGTTTATTGGTTTTGGATATCAGACAGAACTAAATTCTAACTGGTTTTGGAAATTTGACAAATTCTAATGGGTTTTGGTAACCAGACACAGAACACATTTCTAACTGGTTTTGATTATCAGACAGAACTCAATTCAGGTTTTGGATATCAAACAGATCAACATTTTTTACTGGTTTTTGATATTAGAAAAAACTAAACTATGATTTTGGTTATCAGACAGAACTCAATGGTTTTGGATATTTGACAGAACTAAATTCTAACTGTTTTTTTTTTTTTATCAGACAAAACTAAATTCTAACTGGTTTTGGATATCAGGCAGAACAATCCAGACAAAACAAATAACATCTGACAGGATCTGGTAACAAGACTGGATCTAGCTAGTCTAGAAATAATCTAGAGCTAATCTTAATCCAGTCTTTTTACAAATTACCATTTGTGTCATTAGCCATATATATGAACGTAAACTGCTAACCAGATGGACTGGTAACCTGTTAAGCTGAGAAAAACAACACGACCCACCTGATCTGAACTACTGTATGTATATATATAAATATACACTGAACAAAATTATAAACCCAACACTTTTGTTTTTGCCCCCATTTTTCATGAGCTGTACTCAAAGATCTAAGACGTTTTTTACGTACACAAAAGGCCTATTTCTCTCAAATATTGTTCATAAATCTGTGTTAGTGAGCACTTCTCCTTTGCCGAGATAATCCATCCACCTCACAGGTGTGGCATATCAAGATGCTGATTAGACAGCATGATTATTGCACAGGTGTGCCTTAGGCTGGCCACAATAAAAGGCCACTCTAAAATGTGCAGTTTTATCACACAGCACAATGCCACAGATGTCGCAAGTTTTGAGGGAGCATGCAATTGGCATGCTGACTGCAGGAATGTCCACCAGAGCTGTCGACCGTGAATTGAATGTTCATTTCTCTACCATAAGCCGTCTCCAAAGGCGTTTCAGAGAATTTGGCAGTACATCCAACCGGCCTCACAGCCGCAGACCACATGTAACCACACCAGCCCAGGACCTCCACATCCAGCATCTTCACCTCCAAGATCGTCTGAGAGCAGCCACCCGGACAGCTGCTGCAACAATCGGTTTGCATAACCAAAGAATTTCAGCGCAAACTGTCAGAAACCGCCTCAGGGAAGTTCATCTGCATGCTCGTCGTCCTCATGGGGGTCTCGACCTGACTGCAGTTCGTCCTCGTAACCGACTTGAGTGGGCAAATGCTCACATTCGATGGCGTCTGGCACTTTGGAGAGGTGCTCTTCGCGGCTGAATCCCGGTTTTCACTGTACAGGGCAGATGGCAGACAGCGTGTATGGCGTGTGGGTAAGCGGTTTGCTGATGTCAACGTTGTGGATCGAGTGGCCCATGGTGGCGGTGGGGCAGACGTATGTTATGGACAACGAACACAGGAGCATTTTATTGATGTCATTTTGAATGCACAGAGATACTGTGATGAGATCCTGAGGCCTATTGTTGAGCCATTCATCCACGACCATCACCTCATGTTGCAGCATGATAATGCACGGCCCCATGTTGCAAGGATCTGTACACAATTCCTGGAAGCTGAAAACATCCCAGTTCTTGCATGGCCAGCATACTCACCGGACATGCCACCCAATGAGCATGTTTGGGATGCTTTGGATCGGCGTATACGACAGCGTGTTCCAGGTCCTGCCAATATCCAGCAACTTCGCACAGCCATTGAAGAGGAGTGGACCAACATTCCAGAGGCCACAATCAACAACCTGATCAACTCTATGCAAAGGATATGTGTTGCACTGCGTGAGGCAAATGGTGGTCACACCAGATACTGACTGGTTTTCGGACCCCGGACCCATTCCCCCCCCCTCCCCCCCCCCCAATACAGTAAAACTGCACATTTTAGAGAGGCCTTTTTATTGTGGCCAGCCTAAGGCACACCTGTGCAATAATCATGCTGTCTAATCAGCATCTTGATATGCCACACCCGTGAGGTGGATGGATTATCTCGGCAAAGGAGAAGTGCTCACTAACACAGATTTAGACAGATTTGTGAACAATATTTGAGAGAAATAGGCCTTTTGTGTACATAGATAAAGTCTTAGATCTTTGAGTTCAGCTCATGAAAAATAGGGGCAAAAACAAGTGTTGCGTTTATCATTTTGTTCAGTGTATACATATATACACTCACCGGCCACTTTATTAGGTACACCTGTCCAACTGCTCGTTAACACTTAATTTCTAAGCTGCCAATCACATGGCGGCAACTCAGTGCATTTAGGCATGTAGACATGGTCAAGACAATCTCCTGCAGTTCAAACTGAGCATCAGTATGGGGAAGAAATTTGATTTGAGTGACTTTGAACGTGGCATGATTGTTGGTGCCAGAAGGGCTGGTCTGAGTATTTCAGAAATTGCTAATCTACTGGGATTTTCACGCACAACCATCTCTAGGGTTTACAGAGAATGGTCCGAAAAAGAAAAAACATCCAGTGAGCGGCAGTTCTGTGGGCGGAAATGCCTTGTTGATGCCAGAGGTCAGAGGAGAATGGCCAGACTGGTTCGAGCTGATAGAAGGGCAACAGTGACTGAAATAACCACTCGTTACAACCGAGGTATGCAGCAAAGCATTTGTGAAGCCACAACACGCACAACCTTGAGGCGGATGGGCTACAACAGCAGAAGACTCCACCGGGTACCACTCATCTCCACTACAAATAGGAAAAAGAGGCTACAATTTGCAAGAGCTCACCAAAATTGAACAGTTGAAGACTGGAAAAATGTTGCCTGGTCTGATGAGTCTCGATTTATGTTGAGACATTCAGATGTTAGAGTCAGAATTTGGCGTAAACAGAATGAGAACATGGAACCATCATGCCTTGTTACCACTGTGCAGGCTGGTGGTGGTGGTGTAATGGTGTGGGGGATGTTTTCCTGGCACACTTTAGGCCCCTTAGTGCCAATTGGGCATCGTTTAAATGCCACGGCCTACCTGAGCATTGTTTCTGACCATGTCCATCCCTTTATGGCCACCATGTACCCATCCTCTGATGGCTACTTCCACCATGTCACAAAGCTCTAATCATTTCAAATTGGTTTCTTGAACATGACAATGAGTTCACTGTACTAAAATGGCCTCCACAGTCACCAGATCTCAACCCAATAGAGTATCTTTGGGATGTGGTGGAACGGGAGATTCGCATCATGGATGTGCAGCCGACAAATCTGCGGCAACTGTGTGATGCCATCATGTCAATATGGACCAAACTCCCTGAGGAATGCTTCCAGCACCTTGTTGAATCTATGCCACGAAGAATTGAGGCAGTTCTGAAGGCAAAAGGGGGTCCAACCCGTTACTAGCATGGGGTACCTAATAAAGTGGCCGGTGAGTGTATATATGTGTGTGTATTCACCGGGCACTTTATTATGTACACCTTGCTAGGACTGGGCTGGACCCCCACTTGCCTTAATTCTTCATGGCATAGATTAAACAAGGTGCTGGAAACATTTGGTCCGTATGATAGCATCACGCAGGCCATTTGAGCATTGAACTCATTGTCATGTTCAAGAAAGCAGTTTGATATGATTTGAGCTTTGTGATATGGCGTGTTATACTAAAGGCCCAAAGTGTGCCAAGAAACACATCATTACACCAGCAGCAGCCTGAACCGCTGATACAAGGCAGGATGGATCCATGCTTTAATGTTGTTTGCGCTAAATTCTGTATGTCGCAGCAGAAATTGAGACTCATCAGACCAGGAAATGTTTTTCCAGTCTTCTATTGTCCAAAATTTGGTGAGCCCGTGTGAATTGTAGCCTCAGTTTGCTGTTCTCAGCTGACAGGAGTGGCACCGGTGTGTCTTCTGCTTCAAAGTTGGACGTGTTGTGCGTTCAGAGATGCTCTTCTGCAGACCTCGGTTGTAATTTGTGGTTATTTGAGCTACTGTTGCCTTTCTTTCAGCTCGAACCGGATATTTTCTTTTTTTCAGATCATTCTCTGTAAACCCTAGAGATGGCTGTGCATGAAAATCCTAGTAGATCAGCAGTTTTGGAAATACTCTGATACCTGTCTGGCACCAACAACCAGGCCACGTTCAAAGTCACTTAAATCACCTTTCTTCCTCATTCTGATGCTTATGACCATGTCTAAATGTATTAAGTTCCTGCCATGTGATTGGCTGATTAGATATTTGTGTTAACGAAAAGTTGAACAGGTGTACCTAATACAGTGCCAGGTATTGTTTAATTTACAAATGAATATAATTAAGCAATCCCCTTGTAAAATAATGTTAAAAGTTCATTTTTGTGAGCTGTATCTGAAGATAAACCAGACTACGGAAGAGGAAAAGACAGCGAGAGAGTCGCTAGGCGAGCATTGGGAACATTTTGTTGGGAATGTTGTGGCTTTAGGCCAGAGTTCACCACCGCTGGTCCATCTTTCCTGCGACTGGAATTCCCGACAAAGTCCCTCTTTGTTTGGACAGACAGACGGGCCAGGGCAGTGTCACACATACATCCGGCTCCACAGAGCTGATCTTCGGTGACAAGAGGCCGTGTGCCAGAGCTGGTGCAGCAATATTTATTGTGGATGAAATGTGTTATTGTTGACAATAGATGGATATTCACGCTGACCTGCCAGAACTGTGCTAACACACTCCTTGCATTCCACCAGTCCTTCGGGAATTTGTCAGCCTGCGAATGTGGCTCAAAAAGGAATGGATTAATGCTTAGCACACAATTTGTCATTCCTGTAGTAATGTTCTCAAGGCTAGGTATGTATATATTCTGACAAAGCACATGTTATTGTTATTTGACTTATAAAGTGAACAGAAAATCACCTTGTGTTATTCTTATCTAAAGTCACAAAGGTCAATATTTGAAAGTAAACACTCAATTTGAGGAAATATGTGCATTTACATAGACTATACATGTGCTGAGTGTGTTGAGCGCTTGGAAATGCCAGCATACGTTGGACTTTGGTTATATTTATTGATATTTCTTGGGTGTGGTGATTGATCATAGCTATTTCCTTTGCACTTTGACTGCTCCGTGTAGATCTTTCATGTATGGAGAAATTAAAAAGTAAAAAGTGCATGTTAGCTTTTTCTCTCTGTGTAGACATTTTGTTAACTTTGGGTATTTTTGTATTTAACTTCCCTAATGTTATCAGAGCAATAGCACAACTTGACAAAACATCCTAGGGACAAAGGAATAAAAGGGCGTAGTGATTATTAGGGTTCATTTACTTAAGAACTAAAAATAAGCTGGATATATAAACGATCTTTTGTGTATATTTTGTATTGTGTGAGACAAGTTTGCACATCTTTTCCAGTTGAAGTAGCATAAATAACTACTCGGGAGGCAAAAAAGCAGTGCGAGCTGCTGTGAAAGGCATCCATGGTGTGTAAAATAAATTGGGGTTACACATACACAATGCAATTAACAGAAGAAAAAAATACTATAAACCATAAACTACATCCAAATGATGCTATTATTAGACTGGATACTGTTAAAGGGATAGTTCACCCAAAAATAAAAATTCTGTCATTAATTACTCACCCTCATGTCGTTCCAAACCCGTAAGACCTTTGATCGTCTTCGAAACACAAATGAAGATCATTTGAATGAAATCTGAGAGCTTTCTGTCCCTCCATTGCTATGCAACTACCACTTTCAAGTCCCAGAAAGGTAGTAAAGACGTCATTAAAGTGATCCATGTGACTCCAGTGGTGTAACCTAAATTTTATGTAGCAGCGCAAGTGTTTTGTTACCGCAAAAAAACATAATTTACCACTTTATTTACAAAATATTAATCTCCCACAGTCGTTCACGCAACAACATCTGCTCTCGCATTAACACAACACGCATGCATCGTGGTGCTCTCGTGAATGCACATTGGAGATTAATATTGTGTAAATAAAGTGGTAAATTGTGGTTTCCGCGCAAACAAAAGCACTTGTGTTGCTTCATAAAATTAAGATCTTTTTAATGAAATCTGAGAGCTTTCAGTCCCTCCATTGACAGCCTACGCAACTACCACTTTCAAGCCCCAGAAAGGTAGTAAAGACACAATTAAAGGTAGGGTAGACAATTTTCTGAGAGGCTAGCAATAGCGAGCTAGCTTTGAAAGCATGATATCCCGTCCTCCCTTCAGAGCGTCTTCAAAGCCACAACTGCTTCAAAAGTTTCAAAACACATGAACACGTACAGCAGTGAGTAGCCTACACAAAAGAATCACGAGAGACGGCGTTAAAGGGTTAGTTCGCCCATTTAAGACATGAAGTTGTATGCAATCCTTACCAGCACTATAGTGCATACACACTGACCCACTCTGTTGTCACCTCCCTGGTCAGAGTTCTGGCCGCTGGAAGTTTTTCAATAAAGTACTCCCGGTTATTTTCCGGGGCCACAAAACTGTGCGTTTTTACGTGAAAAAATGATTTGCGTTTCAAAGCTTGATTAATTTACCACACAAAAAACACGCCGGTCAAAATTCATACCTCAGTTTTAATCGGCACTATTTTCTATCCATCCGCGCTGCTGCTGTCAACGTCAACAGTGCGCACGTTCCGATCTGCTGTAGTGTTTACACAATCGATTGACAACGACGTAAAAAGTATTAAATTAACAATTTAAAGTGCGAACTTGTAAATTCCCAGGCTGTGAACACAAGGATGTGCCGGGATCAAAGTTCAGATTCCATCGTTTTCCTGTTTCGAATATAACTAGAGACAGCTTACCGAGCATAATCTCCATCTGCTGTTAGTCGATCTCACCAGCAGGGGGTGCAAGCGCTTGTTGTTGGCTGGTTGCCATCGGCTACTCTGCGGGAGCTAAAATATCCAGAATAAAGGATTTTCGTGTGCGTAGTGCTCACTTCAGCGAAGACGATTACATCCCCAACCGGGAGGAAAAGGAAAATTAAAGAGTTTTGCTGTACCAGTAACACGGGTAAGCTCTATTTACTAACTTTATTATCCCATGTCTAAACTGTACGGTAAACAAGCTGATGTTTAGACTCCATTATAAAACACGTGAAAAGATGTCTAATATAAAAACAGTATATAGGGATGTTGGTACAATTTGCTGAGAAAACTATTTGATTGAACACACACACAATTGAGGTTTTGTGTTGCAATCAATAACATTGTCGTTGTGGTAAAATTACTTTAATCATCTGATCCGTCTGACATTGTGCTAAAATTGGTTTCATCATCAGAAGTTTCCAAGTTTCGCAGTCAGACATGTTGTCAGCGAGTCGCACTATCAACAGCTGATCGGAACGTGCGCACTGTTGACGTTGACAGCCGCGCGGATTGATAGAAATGGATAGAAAATAGTGCAGATTAAAACTGAGGTATGAATTTTGACCGGCGTGTTTTTTGTGTGGTAAATTAATCAAGCTTTGAAACGCAAATCATTTTTTCACGTAAAAACGCACAGTTTTGTGGCCCTGGAAAATAACCGGGAGTACTTTATTGAAAAACTTCCAGCGGCCAGAACTCTGACCAGGGAGGTGACTACAGAGTGGGTCAGTGTGTATGCACTATAGTGCTGGTAAGGATTGCATACAACTTCATGTCTTAAATGGGCGAACTAACCCTTTAAGCTGCTTCATGTCTCAAAGCACATAACATTACAATAATAATGAACATAAACAAAGAGCGCTGACCACCTGACTGCTGGAGAATTATTTCAGCGTTGATAGTGTTGCCACTGAAACACATAAATTTGAGTCATAAAACGCTCATATATCGTCACGGGTTTCCAATCTGCAAATGACAGTTATGGCGTGAATGCAGCATGAGCTGGTTGTTTTGGTTCAGGAGGAACTGTAAAAGTTGCTGCTGTTTCGGCGCTCGGAGACTGACATCTGTCTAAATCTGAGCATTAACACGCTGATGATGTGTGATATTTGCATGAGCAGGTGTGCGGAGGTATGGAAATACATAAGTTGACAGGCAGGACCGAATGCAATGATTGGACGACGAACATTTTATGGTCTTAGACCATATATATATACATTTTTAGACCACTTAACTTTGTTTGCTATCAGGATGTAAAGAGACTTTCAACTAGCGTAAAAAAAAAAAAAGAATAGAACAAAAAGCCTACCCTGCCTTTAAAGTAGGTAAGCTAGTATCCTTTTGTTTTGTGGAAAAAAACCCATAATTTACCACTTTATTTACAAATTATTAATCTCCACGCGCTAGTATACATTTTCTTGAAGTATGACACAAGAAATATTATTAACAATAGGCTATATTTGTGTGCGCCTACACACCGTTACACTGGCTACACTAGTCTGAACGAGTTAATCTTCTATTATATTTCACTCTTCAACTCCAGTGTGTCAGTGTGTGTGTGTGTCTGTGTGTGTGAGAGAGAACACCGATTGACGTCAGCAGTGGGCGTGTACCTGGGCGAGTAAAGTCAGTTCAACAGTTTGTGGTTCAGTCTTCACTTTTCAAGCGTTTTGTTCACTCGCGTGAAACTCACGTCCGTGAAATTTGCCAGCGTGAGGGAGGACGCGTTACATCATCAGCTCACCTTTAACGCAGGTGACACAGAACACCCGGAAGAACGCGCGCATCGAATATCATACGAGTCGCTTCAGTTTCCATAAAGCCCAGAAGAGCTCAACAGATCACAGTCATGTCAGAGCTGAAGAAGAACAAGCTGTTTATTGTGCTGATGGATGTTGTGTGTGTGCTCGCGGGTAAGTCGGATCTTTTATTACATATGCATTTCTGTCTAACATGTTCTAAGCCGATGATTGTGAAATCCAGCCTGAGTTTACCGAAGTTCACCTGCAACCTTTAACTTCTGTTTCTTCCCATAGGATACAAGCACATCTCACACAACACATTATATCTGGGTCAGTGACTATGACCATTGTCTGATATAAAACGTTTTATGTCCCAGTTGTTAATATAATATGCCCAGTGCCCAGTTCTTAATATAGGATAATATCAGTTTTTATTTTGGTTTCATTCATTTGAAAAAAAAAAAAAAGTTCACACCCTTTCCCACACTTATTTTACATTTAAAACATTGTCAAATCTTTTAATTATAAATAAAGTGTGTATATTGCAAATTCTCATGGCTGCTCAATTTGACCTGAACAAATATTAATTTTTAATGGAAAGGTCAAAAATAGAGAATGACTCTGTTTTCAGAAATTAAAAACATTTATCGTAGAATAATTATTTTGCATGAATTGCATTTATAATTGCATGAATGTTTTAATAGATATGACAAAACAAATAAGTGTCATGTCAATGACTTATACATTCTTTTCTTTTTTTACGGGCTTACGACTTTATCTTTCTATTTACCTTTATTTAAAGCTGCATTCCGTAACTTTTTTGGGTTAAAAATGATCCAAAATACATTTTTGAGCAATAACCAGCCACTGTTCAAAACTATCTGCTTGCCGTAGCTCGATTCAAAACGGTAAGCTTGTAATAATGTTTTAAACTCCAGTGGTACTGGTGGATTTCCGTGGGATATTCGAGCATGTCTTTGCGTCATTACATCACATCTGTATACATAAAGAAGGAGTCTCGGCTAGTATAAGCTATATCGCGTGTGAGGATGCTGGAGGTGGAGATTTATAGCCTTTTCTCACAGCTCTTGATATAATTAAACTTATTAATTTGATGGCGGATCCAGAAAGGTTCAAACGACAATCACCAGTGACAACTAGAGACTCACCCGCTGTAAAATGCAAAAGACTTCGTTCGGACTTCGGAGTGGCTACAGAAAAAAAAGAGACTGCAACCGGACCCATGCGAAAACAAGGATAATATCGGAAGGACATTACATGTAGTCACGCAATGCTGACGTTGTTAACATTAACAATTTGAGAACAAAGTATAATTTGCACGGTTTGACGTGATATGATAACTTATAAGCGATCGTTATATTTAATCAGCGCGTTTTACTGCAATGCTTTTTTCCCCTTAGTTGGTCAGAACAAAAGTGGATGTTTACTTGTTCAGACATTTTCCGGTGAAAATTCTTATGTTGGTCATACTTCCAAAAAGTAGAATATGTGATTCTGAATGCCAGTATCCACACCGGCGCGGTGATTGACAGCCTCACACTCTCCTCAAAACATTGTATTCATCCGCGCTGTGCCGTGCCGAGGCACAACCCACGTAAAGTTGATAATTCCGCGAATAACTGCAATTGCAGATTTCGAACAGAGATGGCGACAAAGAGGAAAAACTACGGACTGCAGCTTTAAGTGACTGGTTTATACAAGGTGAATGTTGAGCAATATAAAACCTGAAGTGTTACATTTATTTGTCTGGTGTTTAATATAAGTGATAATTATGTATTTCATGCCAATTGAAGCGACACTACGGGCACATACCAAGGATGTAACCAAATTCTCAAGATTGTGGGGACCAAACGTAAAGTAGAAATCTGACTTTGAAAATAATTCTGAATATTGTGTCTCCCTCAATAATGTACATAATAGGGGTGTAACGGTACATGTATTCGTATTGAACCGTTTCGGTTCGAGGCTTCCGGTTCGGTACGCATACAAACCGAACGATTCCTTGGACCATTTTTCCTGCCGACAAAATTCGCGCTGGCGTGATCACCACAACGTTGCGCAACATCAAATGGCAAGCAAACCGGAACGAAACTGCGCTATTGTGCTTCACGGATCGTTTATCAGTTCGGAGCAGAGCAGCAACATCTGTGCAGCGGGAGCCGATCTCGATCAAGCGACACTGTTACAACCGTTACAACACAGTGCTAAGAGATCCAGTAAAGAAAACATTTGAGTTCGCCACTGAAGTAATAACATCGCTGCGAGATCTAGTGAGAAGCATTCACATTTCTCCGTTATTAACCGTAGATCTCTATTAGATCAAACAGCACTGACGTGGACACCAGGAGAAACATTGTGCCGTGAATGAACTAGTAATACTTTACGTCCACAGACCAGCAACATTCACCATGGATTTAATATAGTAACACTAACTGTAACCAGTTTGGCTGGAATAGTGAAATGCTTTCAAGTACTTCACACATCTTTTTCCAGCACTTCAAAACTCAAATATTATATAAATAAATAGCCTATATGAAGAGTTCAGATGCAAAAGCCTCTATAAGTGCCGTTTGAAATTTTCTTCTAGAAATTAGAATGATCATTTTTATGAAGCTTGTACATTTAAGTTCAGTAATTTCACTCAAATGACAATTAATAGGTAATCTTCATTGCCATTTAAGTGAAATTACTGAACTTAAATATACAAGCTTGATAAAAATGATCATTCTAAGAAAATTTCAAATGGCTTTTGCATCTAAACTCTTCATATATTTAAATGTTATTTTTAATGTGATGACCAAAACATTATTTGTTCATCCTTCAAAGATGACCCCCATTTATAAACCTGAAAGTTTCAAGATGTAGGAAAACTCACTTATTTAAAAAATATTTTTTCTTTTAACAAATAGGAAATTTCTCTGGCACTTCTTACTATTTGCTGTATCGAAAACGTACCGAACCGTGACTTTAAAACCGAGGTACGTACCGAACCGTGATTTTTGTGTACCGTTACACCCCTAGTACATAATGATTTACATCCTATATAATACTGTTTTTTTTTTTTTGGGTGGTATTTACCTTGCAGTGCCGTGTTAATACCATCATACATTAATATGATGATACGTTATTTTCTAATTAAATACTAACATTTTCATTACAATTTAAATATGACATGAACAAAACCTGATGATCATGTTCTCCAGCATGATTTGAGATGCTGAGAGTCATTGGAAAAACATCTGACCGTCCATAGAAAGAGTCACATGATCAATGTCACTAGTTTGCATTTGATTAGTAACCTACAAATTTCACTTGTAGAGCTTGTTCACACATGCAGTGCTTTATTTGAATGAATCAATCTTATGTTACAAAAGGACTGAAACTCTTTATTTCCTTAATTATTAGTTCAGATGCAGCAATTATAATAACTGTTGGTGACGTTCCCATTCCTGCTTTTCATATGGTTTCTGTGCCGCTGTAACTTTGATTTGAGATTCTGCTTTGTATTTCGGCACCAACTACTATTTGAGGCAGCACATAATAACACCTGTAATATTACACCGGTAAAATGAACTGTGCAAGCATTATCTGATGCGCTCCTCTACTAAAGCATAGGCTATGTCATTCATCACAGTAACAATGCTGACCTTTAGGAGTGTCTCCATGCATAATTAAAGTTAAAGTGAACAATGCCTTCTAAAGACAGAGTTTTACTGCGGCTCATATATGCTTCAGGTCTTCTGTGTGGTCTAGTAGACCTGTCCAGATGACTCAGCGTAGAGTGAATAACATTTGTAAATCAGTTTTACTTGGTTCACTGAGTCAGATTTACATCCAAGAAGTGTTCATTAACTGCTGCTTACACAGCAAACTCTCACAGATGAGTCCCAGAATCATTATATCAGTGCCAGTATTGGTGTATTGGGATCTGTTTTCGTTTAAAGCAATAGTTCACCCGAAAATACCAAGTCTGTCATCACTTACGTTCAAAAAAGAAATATACAAGCACTGTAATATGACTTATGATAGGTTTGACTATGATGGAGGGGAAGATATTCAGTGAATAACAGTCTATTCCTCACACAAAGCTAACAAATTGCTTCAAAAGACTTGGAATATAGTGTTTGAATTGAATGAACTAGTGTGGCAGTGCTCACCCACTTTATCATTTTATTTGGCCTTGGTTCTAGAAGTATTTTTCCCATAAGAATTGTTTTAAAGTTTTTGTTAAAAGAGCTAATAACAATGAAACAAACCAATCAATGAATCACATCATTGTACAATTTTAGGCATGCACTATATATCGGTCGATATGTTTTAATGTTGTCTTTAATGACCCGATAAGAAAATTTGTCTGATATTCTAAAGCCGATAAATAATGGATTATTTCCTTCTGCTGAAACACTCCAGATGCAAACATGATGTTCGACATGATGCTTTTGAGTTGCTTGAAATATGATTGAAATCACAAATACAGTTAAGTGCAAAATGTGCAACGCAAGTTTGTCTTGTAGGCTACATAAAATTATAATGAAAACACTTTCATAAAAGAATGGTGTGAATTCTTTGTACACCCGTGTTTTATCACGTTGTTACAGGATAAGCGCATCCAAAATGAAGTTACACCTTTATGACCATCTAAAATTGGATTTCGATTTATATGCCAATATATCGGTTATCGGCTTTCAAATATAAATAATTATTGGTTATCGTTTTTATCATCAATTCCGCTGTTAAACAAGATTATTGTAAAAAAAAAAGCTGACTGCTTCAACAAAAGCGTATACCATTGATTAACAACCTGGTTTACAGAATGTCTGTTTTTAATGGTTTATAACTTATAGCTAAAAATAACAATTCCCCTTGTAGAGAAAATTAATTAGATTTTTACTTCTGAAACTGAATTTTGGTCTTTTTTATTTGAATGAACAACAATGAAATTAAAAGTTATGGGTTAAATCTTAATAAATAAATAAAAAACTGTAAACAAAGCCAATTTTTTCTATAGACAGCAGAGATTGACAGTAGCCGCGTTTCCATTACAGATTTGACGTCAGACAACCGTTGCGATATTTTCTAAATGTAGATAAAAAACTATTCCGAAATGACGCCGTTGCACATTTGCGTATATCGCAGCCACCGCACTAGCC